TAAGTTAGGTTGGGTTATATTCGACCCCCCCGCTGCAACCCGCAAGGGTTTATTGTGGCTCACATCTATTTACACTCGACCAAATAAACCCAGCTTCTTAACGAAACCAATTAGTTTGTATGGTGTCTTCCGACTGTCTTCCGAAAGTCCGAGTGTATGCATATGATGATTCAAATGACAGTAACCTGTAAGAAGGGCTGTTAGACATCGTAGTTTGGTACTAAGCTTCGAACGGTGAACAAACGCCTTGAAGCCAATCCTAGAAGATTTTGTCAGAAGTCCATAAATCTTCTTGTCATGTTCAATGTGTGTTTGGCAAAGCCTAAAGCGATGCCAATGACAGGTTCTGGTCCGATGAAACTGCTTGCAGCACCCTCCTTTGCAAGGGAGACAGCAGCCTTATTGCCTTCCAGGCCAGTAAGGCCAGGAATCCAGACCAGGAATCCAGACCAATCTGTTACGTCTTCCTATCGAGGAGAGTCGTTTTTAGCAATTTGCTACCAATTTAGACGTAGGAGCCAAGAGCTTCCAACGCCAATTGACTGTGTATGAGGTTGGATTCTTCCAATATCTCCGCACACAATTCAATAGCGTAAATTTCCGCTTGAAATACAGTCGCATAGGTTCCTAGGCAGGTTGATATCTCTGTCCTGGGTCTGCGACTGAAAACACCTGCACCAGAACCGGAAGGTGTTTTTGATCCATCTGTGAACCAACAACTATCTGGTCTTAATATCTCCTTCTTCCGGAGGATCCAGTCCTCTCTACTCCGGAACAGTACTTTATAAGGCAGTTCGTAGTTGAAAGTTGGAGGCATAGAGTCAGAGGTAATTTCCATACTGATATGACTTCCAGTGTCAACTAACAGGCTGTTGCACTCTGCATTAAATTGATTTGTGCATTGGCAATAGTCTATATGCAGTCCATCTAGACTCTTCAAAAAAATGTAGAGAGAAGGTAGATCTAGAAGGATCTCTATGGCCGCTGACGGTGTCACAGTATACTTAGGTATATACAATAGTCCCACTTAGCGTCGGTCCCTTTGATGTTGGTGTCCAGGAGTTTTAGTTTTTACAATGCTGACGTATTTGACACTAATGACATTACTCCCTACTACAATCCTAACCAAAGCGTCTAAACACTGCTCAACATAACAACTATTCATATAAACTGCTCAAAAAAATACAGTCGATGAAAACCATGTTGGGAACCTGAGAAAATTATTAAAAATATTCCTAATCGAATTCATCACTCAAGATTTAAGAATCTGTAGAGCCTATTCTTTTTGAATTATATAGTACTATTTAGGACTTAAAGAAGTAAACAAGTAATTGTGTAGTGTTCAACAAACAAATTTTTCAGTAGGTTGGGTGAAATCCAAGAAATTCGACAATTATGGAAGGGTTGCGTGCCTATCTTGAACTCGTCGTTTGCGCAGACCTGAGACTGCAACTCCTGGGTCTGCGTTTAGAAAATTCATTTGGGTCTGAATGGGACGCATTAGCATCAAAGGAATAGCACTACCAAATCTGTCAGCGCTACTGCGAAACCCACTTCATCTAGCTATAAAGAACCTATTTTTACTTAGTTTCGATTATATTAGTTTAGTGTATTGTGTTGAAATTTTAGTATGCATACTAGAGGGTAGATAATTCATCAGTTGAATTAAACAACGAGGAAATCATTGTGACAAAATCCTTCATTTTAATATAATTTATTTTTCCTGGTGAATAAATCAAATTTTGTAGATTGGTCACAGAAGTTAGAACTGACAATATTCGTTACAATTTTCTTTACCTTCTATTATTGTTAAAAAAATAACTGTCTTTCTTTATTTTTTACCGACGCTCTCTTTCCCATAACTTTCATTAATAAAAGATTCGTAAATTGATTTACTCCTTTCTTATTTCTTTATATCCACTCCCGTCTCCACTGTTGAGAAGCTGGTAGGGCATTTGTGGAGGTAATAAAGTAAAGGGGAAAATAATACAACACAGAATAAAGATATCTCATTTACTGAGATGGAAAAAATATTTACAAACGAATTTTATTGCATAGCGAATAAGTTGATAATAGCCCATAAATCAGTTAAATTTATGAATGTACAATAATATCGACTCCTTCTATAAATACAAATTAAAAAACATAAACAGAATCGGTAACGTAAATATCTAATTATAAACCAACTATAATTATAATATATAAAATTCGTAAGGTGTAGGTAAATGTATACACAAAGGGGCCATCTGGTGCTTTCTGACTTAAATAGATATATTATACACAGTTCGAAGGAAATTTCTACAATTGAAATAACTCAAGAATCTCAAGATATACTCGTGAGTCCAGGGTGAATAAACTCAGTTAAATGGACCAGATTCACATACATTCAAGGAGAATTACCGATAAAATTTACAAGTGTATTTAAAAAAATAAATATGCATTCAAAAAAGGGAAACATTGCGGAACAAAAATTAGTCGTTTAAAAGAACCATTACAATCGAAATGAAATATAGATGTATTAGTAATGCATATATATTTTCAGCTCTTTTATGAAATTATTGATGTTTCAGAAAGAAAAATAACGAAAAAAGCTGTGAAGGTTTACCATGTTCCTATACTGAAAATTACATTGATAATAACATCAAATCATTTTGCGAAAAGATATTGAATTTGAAAATATTCTATTTCGGCAAAAGAATTTTAATTAAGGAAATCGAATAATGAATGTATATATTTTTTGATAATGAATGAAAGGGCAGATTTATGAATGTTAATGATGAGAGCATCTCTTAACAAATTGAACTGTAGAAGGAATAAGCTTACTTGCATTCATGTATTTAGGAGTTTATTTCTTTCAACCACATGAAATAATGGAAAAATCTTGTTCTAATATTATCACTATCAAATTTGTGGAACTACTAGAGATTAAATCATTCGCGAAGTTATAATCTGACGTGTTTTCTGACATTTAATCGTATTCGAGCGTGTATTCAAAAACCGATTCGTACTGACGTCATTAATAATAAGATTCGCTAGAATGGAGTTATTCAATTTGTGACAGATGTCAAATTCAATAATAAAACAAACTTTTCAATTTTCTGTAACCTCAATTAGAATCGGATTTGTGCAAGTAATAATTCTGTAGCTTTATTTTGTATATCCTTTCAACATATTTGATAAAAAAAAATCAGCACTTTATAAACTATAACGATCCAAATAAAGCAGAAACTGACAACTGATGTAACATAACATCAAATTCCGTTTCAAAAGCTAGTTTTGAATCATCATGAATGCTATGTTTCAATGCCATGTTCACAATATTTGAATCACAGACGAATACGTTTTGAATACATGAGCGCCAGAAAACGCCTCTCGTTTCAAATTATATATCTAGGTACAGTTAGCTATTGGAGAAAGAGATCTAATGATTAACAGGATGGTCAAAGGTAAGCGACAGAACCGTTGCTAATATTTTACATAAACGTAGGGATCCATAGATTTTTCATCAAAAGAGAGTACTTTTTTTGGTATTTGTGACTCCACCATTTGCATCTCCAATAGAGGTTAAGAATTATCCGACAAAATATTTCTATGGCATTAGAGGTTAAAGAAATTGTAGTATTGAGCTCCTCAAATTCTCCATATGAATAGTAGTCGTTAAGTTCAACAATTTTCATTTTGAAATGGTTCAGTTGAAATGGTGGTTTCCTAAACATCTCAAGAGAACAAACATTTGAAACAGCCATAAGGAAATAAATCCGCAGACGGCTTCAAAATAGATCTCCCGCAGTATTGAGAGCTTCAAGATAAACAAAAATTTCATAAAAACAAACATAATATACATATTGAGAAAGTATGGTCATTTGAATTTGAGCACCTATCGTAAATAAAGGCAAATTATAACTACACCGATTACTATTAAAAAACCAGCACATTTAAATTATAATTATTTTTGAGGACGATGACTTGATGTATGTATATGCGGACCTGAGTACAAATCCGTTGTTTAATGATTGTTTTGTATAAATTCCAGGAGTTTATAGTTTCCATCTCCTGACTATGGAGGATACATAATCTTGGTCCAAGATACACATGCCATATTTGTCCTACAGTTCCATTCATTCACTCAATAATTTAAACTGAATGTATGCCTCATCCATACATTAATAAAATTTGTTTTCAAAATGTTCCCTTATATTCCGAAGCATATTCAGACTGATTCAATGGAAGTCCTAAACAATTCTCCAACATAAATCTTCGAAAGACACTGCTGGCATTCACACAAAAGGGCTGACAAACCTGGAGATCACGGTGGCCATTCCAAGCTGCCTTTTCTTCCGATCTAGTGTCAAAGAAAATGTTGTGAACGATAACGGCGATATCTTGCAAGCAGGTGTTTATTAATTCAAACATTAAAATGTAACTTGTCACAAAACTATTAGGCGGCATTTCAAAATGCAAAGAGTACTCTGAAGAGGGCTTTATGAAATTTCTAACAAACAAAATGTGATTGAAAAATTTTCGGATGTTTCTTACCCTCGTTTGGGAGGTGTAAGTGGTGTAGTTACAAATATCAGAGAGAATGTTCTTCTCTCATTTTCTGAAATGTTAATGCAGTCTCTGTTTCGCTTGACCACCATATTTTAACATTGATATATTACGTTTTTATGTCACTTATCGGGAAATTAATAGGACTCTGTAAATAGATACCTGCAGTTTTTTGTTTTTTTTTTGTTCTCATTATGGTATTTTGAAAATTACTACCATAATTGGTAATTTTATAAAACTTCCTGTGTCAAAATATCCAACTGTACCTAGTTATTCGATTTGAGTTCCGTCTCATGAGGCTAGTAAACCACATTACACTTTAATCATCAATTTAATGAAAACATATGGAAAAAAGAAAAAAATTACCAGAATTTCTTAACAATTTCTGCAGCCTCTGTAATGACCACATTATTCAGAACTATACACGATAGAAAAACTCGACAAACAAGTAAATAGGAGCACACTAAACATTCTAACACTGATCAAAAAGTATCGGTAACCATAAATTCCACAGAAATTATACATTACATCACAATTTCCCATATTTTATCCACTCGTCTTCTAGAAGACGACGCCGCTGGATTAAAGTGCTTGTTCCTGCTTGAGTTCTAATGCCCACACGTGCTGAGGCCAACCTGTACGCCCTTTTGCCTTCCTCGAGTTGCCCATATCTTCCTGTTTACAATAAAATCATAAACAACTCTTCCTATAGGTACTTATAATGTCAATGACAGTGTTTATGCATGCAACATTTATGTAAACTTTGGCCAAGTTCAAGATTAACAAGACTTACTAAAACGCATACTGAAGGAAACGAACAAAATAATTCATGAAATAGGTTGCAGTTTTTTGATCGGATTAATTTTTTTTACCTAAATTTCAATTCATTACATGTTTGTTGTAGACCTGGGTTGAAAAGTCCCGGGCCAAAATTGGTTATATTCATCAATATAATCTCCATCAAGAGCCACACAATCATTCCAGCGCTGCTCTAACATTTCAATACCACTTTTGTAGAACGATTTATCTTTTGCCTCAAAATAGGCCTTAGTTTCAAGCCTTTTCATTCAAGTGGAATTTTTCACCGGTGAGAATTTATTTGAGGTCTGCGATCAACCAGTAGTCGCTGGGAGCCAGATCTGGCGAATACGTTGGATGTGGGAGTAATTCAAAGTTCAATTCATGTAGTTTTGCCATTGTTTTTATTGATTTGTAAGACAGTGCGTTGTCTTGATCAAAAAACATTTTTTTTCTTTGCCATATGCAGTGGTTTCTTTGCAATTTCGTGATTCAAACGCTCCATTAACGACTGTTGATGGTATTTCCCTTCTCAAAATAGTCGATGAATATTACACTACGCACATACCAAAATACCGAGGGCATAACCTTTCCAGCCGACTGTTGTGCTTTCTGGCGCTTTTGACGGGGTTCGCCAGTTGATCTCCACTCAGATGACGATCGTTTTGATTCCGGAGTGAAGTGATGGATCCATGTTTCAAGCATTGTCACATATCGACGCAAAAATTCCGGATTTCATGTTTTAACATGGACAAACACTGCTCAGGATCATCAAGAAGTTCTTGTTTTTGGGCAACAGTGAGCTCGTGCAGCACCCACTTTGAACAGAACTTTCTCGTAGTCAAATGCTCATGCAATATAAAGCCAGCACGTTCTTTTGATACCTTGACAGTATCAGGTAACTTACGCAATTTCACTTTTCTATCATTCAAAACAATTATGTGGGTGAAAAGAGAAATGAAAATTTCTATGTTTTTTACCACTTTTATATGTAACTAACGTTACTGCAGTTTCGTCCTATATGGACATTTTCAAACTTAAACAATAAACCATTTTATTAAACAATAAACCATTTTATTGTAATGAAAATTTCTATGTTTTTTACCACTTTTATTTGTAACTAACGTTACTGCAGTTTCGTCCTATATGGACATTTTCAAACTTAAACAATAAAATGAGTTTGAAAATGTCCATATAGGACAAAACTGCAGTCACGTTAGTTACAAATAAAAGTGGTAAAAAACATAGAAATTGTCATTTCTCTTTTCATCATGATCTCCTACCACATAGTAACGGCTACATCCATCAATTTTACTGGAGTTTTTTCGCAACACCAAACCGTTATTTCAACACCTCAGTTCTTATGATACAGATTCAGTTCCGTATACCTGGCCGTCATTATGTACTTGTGAAGCACTGTTTGGAACTTTTAATGTAGTAATGAATTTCATTGGATGAAAAGAGAAATGAAAATAAAGGAAATAAACCAGAAGCTCTCAAAATATCTTTTTTTACTCCGGCAACTGATAAATTTTGTCAGTATACAAATTCTTCTCTTGGCTCATTTTGCATTTTCTCATTCTCATGCTAATTATGGAACTCTTCTTTAGGATAACTCCTCCAATTCCACAAAAACGCTTCAAAAACATGCAATTAGAATTATATCAAACGCAGATTCATGTAGGCCATTTTTCAGAAGACTAGGCGTTATGACGTGACCATCTATTTTCATATATCAGACACTCTTGGAGATACACAAGAATATAGATAGATTTTCGACCAACTCCCAATTTCACTGGTATAATACACGTGGGGCTAATCTTTTGAGACCTCATCGGTTCAATTTACAAAAATTCTCAAAGAACTTGGTGGAAAGTCATCTTCATTTCAAGCAGGTTGGAGCCCAGCTCCCTTACCCTTAGGACTGATGCTCGTCAGAAGGACGAGCGGGTCAAGACTGATTATTTGGTGGCAGCATGAAAGTCCTCAGACATCGTTACCGCCCTTTACGTGGACCCCTACCTGGCTGGGGTATTTGGATGAAGAAAGCACATCAAAGACCATCTAATAAAACAAAGTTTTTATAGTACGGAGGAATATGTTGCCACAACTTTTATAATATCAAGCACATTCTATGTTCACTTTTCTTGTGAATTGTATCTATATTTTTTTCAATTACTTTTCTGTGTATGTTATCTAATGATTATTCTTATATTTTAACTGTTATTGTTTTTTTTTATATATGTTTATGTTCAGTTATGCAAGTTCATCTACATTGTGTACCACCGACTTGCTACTAATATACCTTTATATACGGCAGTCAATAAACATCTATCTATCTAAGACTGGCACTATGTATGTGTTGGATCCGAGACTTTTCATCCCATGTATCTCGCTGAATATATGGGTTACACCTAGGCATGAGTTATGGGTAGGAAGGCTAGAGACAGCAGTTTTTTCAAATGAAAATAGATATTGATTGGTGAGTGACAGACAAGATGATAGCGTTTCACCATGTTTTCTCCATCTCCTGAATTGGCCAACTTGATTGAAAAGCGAATAGAGAAGAGTATTGTGTGTTTATCTGTTGAAGTCCCTTAAGATATTCATTTGTTTTTGTTATGGTGAAACTTAGAAATAAGACTATGAAATAATAAAATTACGGAGTAAATTCTTCTTTACATCTCCGACTATCTCTTACCATCAATATTATTTGAGGTTGGATGATAATCAACAGACGCTGACAATGTTTCCTGGCTAGTAATGCAGCTTTTGGAAAGTAACTATCCAGAGAGTTTGTATTATCCCAACAGTGAACTATTATTATTGTGAATGTTCCTCTCGATCAATATAAAAATAACCAATACAAAGAATTGAATAAATGCCTAACTAATGTTAATTGGGAATCTCGTATGAAACAAAAAATGAAATTTTCGAATTTTTTTATGCGGACTTTTTTTTCTGTAAGGTGTCCTTTTTGCTTTTCTAGGTAGCTTTCTGACTTGTCCATTTTATTCAAGCTTCCGGAAAACATCACAGTCCTATGGATTTAGTGCGTTTTTATGACACTTATTTTAATAATCTTGTTTCCTGTACTAGACCTTTGTTGATTGCCGTTGACAATATGATGAGCTATCTCTGCCCCTTTACTCGTATTACATTGTCTGCAGCTGGGGTATCTGTTATACAACACTATTTTGTTAAGGTATTCTCTCAATGGACAGCCTTAAGCCTTCTGATCTGGAAGAACAACTCAGTAGCACTTGTGCTAACTCAGTTGAACTTCGCCTTTTGTTATGTCAGTAACTAGTTCTGTAATTTATTTAAATATTTGCATGTAACTACAGCTGGGAAACAATAAAGACGATTATTATTATTATTATTGTTATCTCTGATCTCTTTATGTTTCTCATTAACCAATTATTTGATCTGGCTTCGTATCACATATTTAGGTCACCCGGAACTCGTTCGGGAACTAACTATCTATAGAGTTGATAATCCATGTCAAGCAACTTTTGATGTTTTATAAAGCTCAGATCAAACCTTCTTTGGAGTATTGTTCTCATGTAAAAAGACGAAACGTACTCAGCCCATCTCAAAAGTTGATCTATTTTGACACTATTTAATAGTTTTCTGTACTAGTTACAATTTATATTATCACATTTTTATGTTATACAATTGTGAAAGGAAAGCTGATGCTTGATTAACAACAGTTGGAGAAAAGTGTCGTCTGCGTGATCAATTATAAAACCAACATCTTACAACAGAAGTCATACCATTGATAGAAATCACCAGAAGTGTCAAACCATATGCGAATTCAATTTAGGTAATTGCTGATAATTTGATTCCGATTGAGAGTGGAAAGTCAAAACAGTCTAGCCTAAGTATAGAAATAATCCAATTACTGAAAAGAATAATAGCTCTGGAGCTGTAAACACCCCTCGAATTGTGGCCCTTTGCCTGAGCAGATAATCATTTGTGTCATTGTGGTTCTCTGCAGCGAATGTTCGTGCAGTGCTGGATTAAGTCAAAAATAACCGGTGATGTTTTCGAAAGGTCAAGTCTGACGTAGATCAATGTTTTCATTTTCACTCGCGCTAATGAGGGTTTATCTCAAATAGCTAAATGTAGTATGGCATTTTAAGTTTCCTGAGATATACGAAAGAAATATCATTATGTATCAATATAAAACATAAATGAAATATAGAATATTGCATATTATAATTCAAAGTACTCCGACGTGTCTTTCTGTTTGAACTCAAAAACTATCGAACGAATTTTCATAAGATTTTCACGAATAGATGAAGTTTATGTGTACCTATGATTTATTGATGTTTTATGCGAATTGGTTGAAATGATATTATATCCGTGAGAAGTCATTGCGGAGATAATGGGTCCTAACTAGCTTTCATCGAGAACCCTACCTAATCCCTTTGAGATATAACAAAACAATTCATTGAATATTGTTCTTCTCTCATAGGTCTACAAAAAAAAATCAAACTATACCATATTTCTAGTTTGTATGACGGTTGTAATTGCATTGGTTGTGTTTTAGGTAATTAATCATTTTGAAGGTTAAGGTCAAATTTTCGTTTTGTGGTTGTATTTAGGTAGATATGCAATTAACTATTTTTGTTTGAGTCAATTATATTACAGGTCAGTATAATCAGTTGCTAACTGGGGTACTCGGTGTGGTAGTTGGAATGAAAGGATAAATTACTGATCTTTCTCTGTATACTTCTACCAGTGGTTAGCCCCACCCATACTAGAAAGGTCCACAATAATCTAGAACATTCCACAATGAATTGAATGTCCCGGGATGTTCTCTAACGTGCCTAACTATTCCTGAACATTTCACAATATTCCAGAATACCTTC